ACGAGATCTTTGCGCCGTACAACGTAACTCGTCACGCTGATTCCGAATATGTAAAAATCTTGAGGTACGCTTCTCTAGAAAAAAACCATCAAATTTTGATATGCTCGCTCCAAAAGCCTAAAATGAGGATAGGAGTACTCTTAAGCTTCATAGAAAGCAAGTATTATATTGTAATTCAGTCTGATCGTTTTAAATAATATGTCGGAAATTCGGGTATCTAAGAAACCGGCTGACCTTCCCTACTTTTCTACTTCGGATACATCAATCTTGTAACACTTTTTTAATTAAAATTAGTAGATTTCGACCAATCGGTTTTCCATTTAAAAGGCATTTCACGTGCTGGAGATGTATGGTAGGTATCTGTACAAAATAGCGATAGTAGCTTTAATATCATTCTAAATATGATAATCATAAAAAGTGAGAATTTCCAAAAGCTAGAGGAGCACCAGAAATACCAGCGATCGTTGTATCGCAAACAAATTAAATAAACGTCAAGGTCGATCAAAATAAGTTTTATTAGTATCGAATAATAGTGGAGCGCATCTCAGCAGAAAGGTGTTTTTCGGCAGAAGAGTTTTTCGTCCTGATTTAGAAAAAATGAATTTTCTCAGCAACGAAACAAACTTTTAAAAAAAAAAGCGTCGAGTACTTTTTCCCTACAAGTATACTGATTAGATAGAAATAACAATTAATGCTTAGTCTTTCAATGGAAAAAACTAGATACATTTGCAAATTTCACAGTAGGATTTTTATGATTCTGCTCCTGTTCCGTAAATTTGGCGGTCAGTTTCAACTTTAAAATTTTAGAATTCAGTTTTTTATACTCAGTTCTCGATGGAGAACCAGAAAAAAAGTAGGTTTGGAGTTTTAGAAAAACAATAAGTATGAAAAATTTTCTCATTTTTGAAAATTTCACGATTTTTTGCTTATTTTTAAAAAGTATTTTTAAATTTTTTCACCAAAACATGACTTCTTAAAAAAATGTGGCATTGTATTTTTCCGATGCAACTCAATGAGCTCTATCCGATCATGCCAAAAAAAGTGGAAAAAAATTCTTGCTGTAATTGCGAATTACCGGCACCTTACATTCTTACACATAGTCTGATAGATGAAAGTGTGCTCGTCAAAATGAGATGTCTTCGGAATCTTCTGATGAGTTTTCGTGGAGATATAAGCATGGTGCGTTTTTCTCGATAACTATTTGTTTTGCTAGCGAGCTTCATTGTGTCACATTACGAACCCCTTTAACTATCGTCCGATCAAGTTAAAAGTTTTAGCAGTAGTACTCAAGGCACTACTACAATTTTTTTTGAATTTTCTTTTAGGCCTTTCTTTACCAAAGTATAGAGCTTCTAAAATTGTAAAACTAGGTTTTTGAGACGTTTTTCAGTATTTTTCCTATAATTCGACGAGGAAAGGTCTTATGAAAAATTCTCAAAAACTGGAGGCTTGTATCTGATGGGGTCCTGTCGTTGTAATGTATGGCTACAATATCACTGTTTCCTCAAATTTTTTTGAGAAACTGGTTCTGCTTAGAATCACAGAATAGATGGATTGAAGAGTACTGTCTGATGTAGATTTTCGATCCCTCGATCAGCATCTATAGATAAGCAATATTTGTTTATTGTCATTAAAAACAATCAATAAAACTTGAGACAATAATAGTGTACAAACCGATATCTTTCAAAGTACCAATGGATAAAATTTTTCATCTTATAAATTAATTGAATAGTTTCAAAGATGATCAGATTTGTCTGAAACGTTGTAGCACTGAATTTTTAGATAAACAAAACATGCACTATAGATTTTTTCAGTAGTAACAATTCAAATAATCTTTTATTATCGAATATACAAGTCGATTGACTTCATTTTCAAAAGAAACGATTGTGATATTGTGTCTGACATTTACGATTTAAATGTAACTTTTATTAACAAACTAGAACATTTACATAGACATCAAAGACAAACAATAGAGAAATTCTTTAGTCTGATATATTCAATTTGTATATTAAAAATCTTAACTTCAAGTCGTTGTATTGTCTTTTACATTTTTTCCATATTCTTCTGATCCAATGTTGCATTAGTAACACAATCAATTCAAATATTTCTATAAAACTCATCAAACTGACTCCTATCCAAAGGCCTGCAAAAATACAAAAAATCATACGAAAAATTTCGGAGAAATTTGAAGTGAAAAACATCATACCAGTCTGTCCACCAATACTCGAAATTAAATCAGTCCATGAGACCATCAATGTTTCTGTTAGGATTTCTGTACCATAAGTTCCAGCAGTTATTTCAACAGCCACCACGTTGTCTTGTATAATTTCACGACAATTTTTACGTTTACCTTGTAGAAGAAGAAATCTATTATCATCTTTAAAATGTTCAAGAATGGATTTTAAAACTTTTCCATATGATTTTGAATTTGGATATTGTGCATATGACGTTTGAATATTGTACTGAAATGTTTCACATTCGGGTAAACATTCAGTACATTTATTTGAACCTAAAGTAGAAAATATTATACTTCTATAGATGTAACCTACTTTCTTCACTTACTAAAATTTTGTTTTACGTTTTTTAAACATGTTTCATTAAGATTACATAGTTTAGCGGATGTAATTGTTCCTTTAACATTCACAGTACTTGAACGTAAAAACATCATTGCATATGGTTCAATACATTGACAATGATGATGAATATACAATTGTTGACAATATTTAATGCATAATGCTTGAGTATAAACATTAGTTTCATTTGTTCTAAATGTTAATGACATTTCTGGTGTTAATTGTGTACGACATGGTGATGCTCGAGTATTAACATGATGAATGATACGTTTTGAAAATACTAATTTTGAATAGATATTTGGAGCAAGATAGAAACTATTTTGTGCCATAATGGGTATTTCTTGTTTTCGATGTAAAAATGCACGAAATGCCGCTTTTTGATCCAAATGTTCACTATAATATTGTTGATGTAAATATAATTGTAATAATAATGTATAACTATTATCAATACTATTGTTGATAGAAAATTTATGATCAAATGTGTAACAATTACCATATTCTGGATGAAATAAATTTCGAAATGTATTATGATTCTCACATGGTCTACCATTGAATGTACATTTTAATAACATATCTTCTAATTTAAAACCATACATTGTTTGAATACGATTATAATTTATCTCTGTTTCATTATTATTAAAAGTCAATAGACGATATAAATGTTCATTTAATGCACCTTGAAATTGATCTGTTGTTAAATTTTCAGCTAAATCAATTTGTTCTTGTACATAGTAGTTTTCAAGAAGTGGCTTAGAAGATGATCTTTTTATCGTACCATCACATGACGCAAGTAAAGATTTTTGATTTATGATTTTATTCATTAATTGTATTTCCATCCATTGTTTTGATTTATTGTTATGTTTCAATGATGATGAAAATTTATTTGCCATTAAGTTTTTGGAAAATAGATCAACTCGTACAGGATTTATATTGCAAAATGTAAATGATGGAAAATTATTAGGATCTATTGTATAGGTCATTTTAACATTGACTTTTGTTGGATTTGTTCGATATTGAATGATCACATTTTGAATAAAATAAATCATTAATGGGGAGAAAGTTAGGTTAGGAGGGGGTGGGTTTGGGAGAGGCCCGGGGCCCCGGGGCGGGGGGGGGCGGGGGGCGG